ATCGATTTCAGCCAATCAAATTCGTGAATTCGGTAGTTCCCAGTCCTTGTGAGACACAGCCATGTAATAACACGGATTACAAACGACAAACTTGAAAAATCTAGGCTAACCTTTTCAAGATGCGCAAACCGTGACCTACTAGCTCCTTTAAGGCAGTGTCTTATCTTTTTCATGCTGGCTTACATGCAAGTTTTATTAAGAAAAATGATGCAGAACTATAATGCAATCCACGAGTAATGACGTTTACTTGCAGCATGTGATGATGCATCTTCCGAAACATACGTGAACAAAATGAGACGCACCTGCAGGGAATCATGATAGTTGTATTCATCAAAACAAATATCCTGTCCTAGGTGATGAATACAACTGCCATGACTCCCTCCCTGCAGGTACATCTCATAGAGGGAACTGGGAATTAATTCTTTGACGTTAGTTTCAGTTAGAATTGGTAGTCGTCTTCTTGTAAGCGGCGGAGGCTGTTTAATATCCCAAGAGAGCGGGGCCACTCTAATGACTGAAAATACCAAGGTTCCTGAGTGAATTTCTACTAGGTAGGCATACTTCTGACTTGAGGTCCATTGTTATGTGGTCTATACTGACACTTATGTTATTTTATAACATGCCATAGAAAATACAGCCAATTAGAATACAGGAAAGCCGTTGTATATTCGACGGTATTACCTCCAAACTTCTCATCATGCCTCATGCGCCGAGTGTTTGTCGCATTGATTGTGTATTTTCTAAGACATGGTTAAAATAGTTATGTTTTTCGTGGTATACCATGCATGGAATATCTCACTTGTCACTTATAGCGGTGCTAGCTCCCGGCGGCCCGAAGGGCCGCCAAGCGGAGCACCATACTCATATAGGAAAGAAAAGGAAACCCATGAGTTGATTTTCTCATGGTTATCATGGCTAGCGGTATTGCTCGTGGGCGCGTACGCACGACGACGGCGACGACGACGACGACGGCGTCGCGTAACATGGCGGCCATACTTCAATTAATAGGTTGACAAAGACATGCAACCTTGGTTTACCGTGTACCTCTGTGATATCGGACATCCATGTCATGATCGATTGACACCTGTCAAAACAAGGTATCCTCTGACCAGTACCACGTGACCATATCGCGGGCTCAAGTTTGCAGGTCATAATGTTTTTTTGAAGTTGACTGCCGACCAAGTGCTGGTTTTCGACTGGATCGCGGGCTCACGTCACCTTAACTTGTTGAAAACAGGGCAGGATTGTTTGGAAGCCGGCTAACGCTGATCCAGGATTAAAAGTTAACAGAATTATAACTTTTTCTTCTATACAAATGGTTTTTGCTACTTTGTTTTGTGCATATGGTGATTATTAAAACTCAAAACAGAAGGCCAAACAATATACAGAAAACCTAACCGCAGAGTTACATAAAATCAAAATTCTACCTTTTCCTGGGTTAGCTTAATCGGGCTCTTAACAACCCGGCCCAGGAGCTACCCTTTTAGGCTGGCCTAAATCTATATATTATTTCTCGGTATACACACTCGCCTAAAAGTTCGTGTATAAACCGAGAAAATCCAAGTGACAAGTGGGATATTCCATGATGTATCGTTAAAAACGTTGCATGACTAGTACATATTACCTGCGGAGGCTGCGCACAATGTCCATGAAGTTCCATTCCCAAGCATGCATTTTCACCGCTCGTATTCCAGCGATGATTTCGTTCATCACCACAAGCCGTTTGTCTGTAAAAGTGGCCGCTTTCTCCCTCAGCTTTGCAGCTTTTCTCGCCATTAACATTTGAAAGGCGACTAAAACTACAAGTAACGCGGCGCCAGCGAGCGCTTTCCAGCCAATCAGGTGCCACAGAAGCAACAGGCTGATCACTATTTCCAGTGGCGCTGACAGCATATAGCCAACGCTATACAAAGACTTTTCGATCTTTTGTGCATCATTGGAGACCAGATTGATAATGTTTCCAGACAACGTAGCCTCCAGTCTACAACGACGGAGTGAGAGAATCTGCAAGGCGAAAAAAAAAAAATGCACCGTAAACTGGACTACCCTGGAACTTGCAGATCGATTTTAGCTCATTAATTCTCTCATATTTCATGCGAATTATAACAGCTCACTAGTCTTACAAGCTTATTTTGAGTTCCTTTCTGCCTAATTATCAAGCATCAATTTTGGACTGTTTGGTTTTGACGCGTAAGACGCCAACTGTTAGTTAATTAATTACACGTTGTTAGAAATGGTAATCAAGAAAGCCATTTCTATGGATTTTATCATTTGTCGCTTTTTTAAGTTTGAGTGCGACAATCCAAAACTGTGTGCTACAAAAATTAGGCTCTAGGTCTTACAAAAAAAAAAAACTGGGAGGGAGTTTAGATTTGATGACTCTAATTAACATCCCCTATGCTTCGTCCTTAAGCCTTGAATTCTCACCGTGATTAAGATTACCTTCTTATATACAAGTCCGATTAACGACACCTTCAGCTTCAATCCCCAGAGTTCAGTTAGAAAGTCATAATGATGCGTCGCTAACGCTTTTATCAGGCTTGCCATTCCCAAAAGCGCCACGTAGGTAAACGCCAACCTCATGTCAAGATCTGGGCCATCGTTCAGCGTCTTCAACACAAGCCAAAGACACAGAGGCTGGAAAACAGAACTCAACGACTCTAGGGTTTTCAACATTATCATTACAAGACGTGATTTCCAGGGAATAAGGTTGACCATTGCTTTCCACAAACGCGGTTTCCTTCCCACTGACTCGCTCCTTTTTAATTCTTCGAACCAATACGTCTCGGCTCTCTCCACGAGAACCTCAGCTTTGCAATCTTCAGGAAGATTAAACAAATCCTCCTCGGTCAGCGGTCGCGTGCTGCCGAGTTTTAAAACGTCATTCATCCACCAAAAGAATATGAGTGACAGCCAGTTTGCCCTATCTCTTGGATTTTGGCTCTCTGAAGGCCTGTCCGACATGTTTCAAGGAATGGGTTACTTCTTATTCCAGCACAGCGAACCTAGAAAGTTAGGCGTGGGTATTAGATGACCGGTTAACCTTTTTGGATTCGGAGGGGAAGGGGGCAAAGTAATCATTCATAAAATATAAACAAAAGGAAGTATGATAAACTACTATGTTATTAATTTTTTTGTCTGACTTAAAGCTTGTACCTGGAATGCCTTTTCGGCCACTTTTAGAACTTCTGAAGAAATTTAACTCAAGAATATGTTAATATGAACGGTTCCTGCGCCACCTTTAGGTGATGGGCACAACGTGGCATATGTCAGGGAATTTTGTTTTGTAAATGCTATCGAGAGCAGACTGAAGATAGAAGACCACATCGATTTGAAT